TGTCTTGGCTCATACTTTTTTTTTTTTTCTCTGTTCTAGCGTATTAGCACTTCAGATGCCAGAAAAAAAAAAACAACTCTTTATTTTGAGAGTAGAGAAAGAGCTGCAGATGAGACAAGAGAGACCATCCCTGGAGGAAGCCAAAGCCACGGCTGGCATTACGTAGGCAGAGGATGCAGCTCACCACCTTTGCCTCCCGTGATGGTAACTTTACTGCAGGAGGCCACGTGGTGAGCTGCGGCTGAGCACCCCGAGCTGCCTTATCCACCGCTACTGAAAACTCTCCCTCCACTTGTTAACTTTTTCCAGGTGATTTTCTAGCAGGAGTTCTCCACTGGCCAACCTCGGGAAGAGAGACGGGCCGGCACGAGGGCAGGCACTGGCCTGGACAAAGGAGCTGCTTTGCTAAATGACCACGTTACACCACTGCGTACCTTAACATAATTAGTGTGGGGCTGCCTGGACTTTAATTGGGCCTGACACGTGCCTGTTGAAAGAGATTCCCCAGGAATTAAAGCGCTACTTCTCGAGTTTGAGTTGGCCGGTGATGCGAAACACGACACGATTTTTGAGAATTTTCTGCGCTTGCCATGAAGCAAGTATGCCACAGGTATCAAGCAGGCTTTGTTTTGGGGCTATAATCATATTACAAATTGAACACTTCCACATGTGCGTGCTGGCACATCTACCCTCGGCTATCTCGCATGTATCTGCCCCAAGGTACAGATGCTGAGGTCTTGACATAGCATAATGTGGATCTAAATATATTTTCCAGATTGCCTTAGCACATGCTAATGAACATGAGGAGCAAAAGACCTGAAAGAAGCAGCTGTTTAAAATTTTCTTCAATCCCAGAAAATCAACTTCTTAATTACTGATAATTTAAGCATCAAAATGACCACTAACCCCTTCTCCCACTAGACCCTCCCAAGCTGGGAGGCCTGCTTTAAGACTCTGGGGCAAAACTACTTTTTCTTAGCAGTGTAGCATTTCATCACATTTCTTTAGCCTTTCTGGAATTAATTAGTATTAAAATAAAGCAGGAAAAAGGAGGGTGCTTTCTGGAGATGCCTTCTTTCAGAGCCTCCACTCAGACAAAGGAGCAGAATCTGCTAAAACTCCTACCCAGCACGTTATATGAGACTACTTTTATATTTCCACAGCACGTTTGATAATAAAAAGTTCCCCAAACGGATTTATAGATATAAATAGCTTACATTTTTATTAAAATACGGACACACCTAGATCAAAAAGATGAGGGTCTGCTTCCTACACTCAGTGGCAAAGGGATCTGTGTTCAGTCTGGTTTATGGTCATACCCAGGGGGGCAACAGGTCCCAAGCAAAATTTAGGTGGTAGTTTTGGGAAAAAGGCTTCAGTCATGCAAGATGTACCGCGAGTTCCTGAACCACTGTGTGGCAGTGGGGCCTCTTTGCAGGGATTATTTAAATATTAGTTTCATTAAATCCAAATTCTGGGAAAACAGTAGATTTTGCTGAAACTTGTTTTATTCTAGCAGCAAATGAATCTGAGTTGGGGAAAAGAAAGGGAATATGATATTACAATCATTAATTATTTTTACTTTTTATTTGATGCTCTCCCCTTCACCCTATCCCCAGACCTCATTAAGTGAATCTGAATTGTAAAGCTGAGCCTTTCCTAAAGCTGGCACCATTTTCTGTATCAAACCATAAGATTAATTAATCAGGTTATTGGAAACCACAGACTAGGTGTACTCCCTCCCACACCTACACAGCCTTTCAACACGATGGGAAAGAAGATGGTTTTGGCCAGGCTGCAGAATACATTTTTCTTTTAACTGGAGTCCTGGCAAGGTACGTGGGTTTTGACATGGAGAAAGGGTCTTCTGTTCGGTGCTGGATGCCTTTGTTTTGTTTGAATCATTACTAGAAGCATCTTCAAAATGAACTGGCTTTTCCGCGCCCCTGTACGACTGACCAGCAAAACCACAAACGAGATTTAATACAGCTGGAAGGCAGCAGGGTGCAGCGAAACGACTCAGGTCTTTGCAGAAATTCTCCGTACGCCTGAGCAAGGGGGATCTGACAGAAAGTTTTAAAGTCCAAGGCACGCATGGAGCAACGGGCCAAACT